TCAGGCTTGATTTTTAATAATMTTTTCCTGTTAAATAAATAAATCAAATCGAATCATATAAATCTGCCGGGTTGGAAAAAGATGGCGTTCACACTAAAACTAAACAACTAAAACTAACATTAAATCTGAACAAAAGCATTTTTTACAGGAGTGCACATCAGCAGCCACGTTTATCATATTCTGTATTATAATAATAAGTTTCAGGCTGGCCCCTCTCCCACCTCTTAATGCGTACTTTTCTTTTTGCTAAGATATGTTTAAAGTTCCCACAGCAATATGCAGAGAAGCACCAGGTTGTATGCATTTCTTAAAAAAAAGAATAAAAGTGTTTTACTCTGGAGACTACGTTCTGACAAAGAAATCTTTGTATCCGAAAAAACTTTCAGTAGCACTGCAGTGTTTTTATTTATTTATTTATTTTATTCTCACTGCCCACCTCTGTTGTTGGTGTCTGGAGAATGCTGGGAGTTTGGGCCCTGAGCTTTTATTCTGCAGATCATTGTCTCACTGCAGGCAGAGGACATTCAATCAAACCCGGCGTGCTGTAAGACCGTATTAAACCTGAAATCATATCTGCCTCGTCCCGCTCGGTGCAAACACCAACAGGAAACAGAAAGAGAAAGGCTGCGTTCCACAGAACTGCTTCAGGTTTGTTGAAAAGGAATCTGTTTTCATTCCATGAGGGAGAAAAAACTCTGCAGAGATTTTATTCAAACATAGAAACCCTGTCCCTGGGGCGACTCGTGGCGTAGGCAGTGGAGGCCAATGCTAAGGGTGCCGTTCATCTAGGGGGGCGACACAAACGGGGGATGAAATAATTATTTTTCTAGATGATTTAGTCTGTAGAATTATCACTGGTTATTCAAATTTATGAAGGTAAGGGGCATTTATATATTTTTATTTTCTTTTTTCGGCACCCTTTTCATTCAGTAATTTATAAAAAAAATTATTGACTTTTTTGTTGTTTTTATGAATGAAATGAACGATTAAATGAAAATGAAAAGGTAATTTGTTTTGCTCTGTTCCTACATGATACGTTATATGATGCAGAGGATATTTCATGATAAAAGTATGATGTGATACCTCCAAGACTAACTGCTAGTGCTCAGTGTGTAAATAGAAAACAAAATAAGGAAAATGAAAGTTTCAGTTCTGATCTCAAATAAAGTTCAGATGAAGGTGTTTTATAGTGTTCTACCTTCATAAACTACTGACTTTTTCTTGTTTTATTAACCCCAATAATTTATTCAAATACTCTTCAAATATCTGGAACTTGCAGAGTTTTGAATAGATATTTTTGGACCCCCCCTAGAACTGCTTCACTCCACAGCTGCTGGTTAACATGAACAGGTGTTCCTCATGATGTCAGCAGATGTTGGCAGGTATGAGGTAGACATCTGGTGTTATGTTTCAAATGAATCGTTTTGTTAACTATTTCATTTGGACAACCTGGTTTCTAAAAAAACAACAATAAGATCAAAAATGAAACTATTTAGTTTAGTATGTGACTGTGTGGAAACTGGCAGTGAGATTTAGAAAAGTGAACACCTGAAATCAGGCCTAGCTGCACCATTAGTTACAGTGTGCCTCCTGCAGACACACAAGCGGCACATTCTGCACTGAAAAACACTGTTTGGAAGTTAAAGAGAGAAATACTAAATGTAAGATGTGTGCACTGTCCTACAAAGAGGAAGTAATAACTATAATTAAGCAACAGATTCAGAGTCTTTTATTTGATTACCTGTCAATTAAAGGCAATGAGCTCAAATGAGTCATCAATAATCAGCGTGAAAAAGACCACAAACTTACACCAGAGCCGTGCCTTCCATCATTAACACAACTTCCACATCCCATAGTAACAGTACAGATGGTTGATTGCACCAAATATGAAAAAGAATCCTCAAACAACTTCTGCGACATTAAAAAGGCTCCCCGCGGAGCGTTTCATTGTAAACAAACATTATCATTTTGTTCAACAAAAGCTCAACAGGGTTCATGGAAATTAGAACTGCAGGACCCAAAGCCATTAGAAGAGGAACCGAATTCAAGGGTCATTATGTACTGTATGTGGTATAATGAGATGGATTTTTGTTCTGTGGATAATAAGAAACTTTTCCTGAAGATGAGGTGTTTGATCACAGAACAGTGGCCTGTTGGGTCTTAAATGTTAAAACTGAGTGGAACAAGCACTTTAAAGGGCTAAAGGACAAACTTGGACTATCCGACCAATGATGGGACACACAACAACAAAATTATACCTTTACGGTTCATGCTTGGTTTGCTTTTATGGAWGTAAGGAAGCATTCTTCATGAGTTACGGTGCACATATACTTATCTTATAGAACCTTAGAGCTGCTTTATAGATATGGAAATGAACACAGTCCTCTAAGGGCACCTTCAGCAGCTGTCATAACCTTACATGCAAATTGTTAGTGAGCATGAAACTCAGAGCTATTATCTGCTCACCATAAACAATTTGTATACAACAATCAATCTATAAAAYGTCTACACCCTCTGGAAAACAACACGGCTGAATAATGCATCTACTACGAGCCCTGAGAGCTTTGATTTGACACCAGTGTGAAACATTAT